ATCACAAAGATATGTACCAGATAAGAGAAGCCATATCAGTTGAGGACTTTCAACAGCCGCAACAACTAAAATGGATTGCACATGTTACTCGAAGAGAAGATAATGACATCATCAAGATGTTGACATTCCACATGACTTCAAGTAAGAGTTAGTGGACTTGGAGAAATATTTGACCATTGTGGACTGGCGCTACAGAATCATTAACAAAGAAATGTACCAGATAAGAGAAGCCACGACAGTTGAAGACTTTCAACAGCAGCAGCAACTAACTTGAAACTTGAAGAGAAGATAATGACATAATCAAGATGTTGACATTCCAGAGTACTTGAAAGAAAAGGTTAGGAGGAAGGAAAAGATGTAAGAGTTAGTGGACTTGGAGAAACATTTTTTCCATTGTCGACTGGCGCTACAGAATCACAGACAAAGAAATGTACCAGATAAGAGAAGTCACATCAGTTGAAAACTTTCAACAACTAAAGCACATGAAACTAGAAGAAAAAAATCAAGATGTTGGAGTTCCATACTACTTCAAACAAAAGGTTAGGAAGGAAACCGCCATCAATACTTAGTAATTGTTTTAAGATGAATTTCAGCCGAAAGTAGGACAGGCTGCTTTATCAAAATATGCCGAATATTTCCATAGAAAAAAAAACGGCTAATACTCCAATTACTGACAGATATGAGAAGAACAGATGATACAATTTGGTCCCAGCCCGATGGTCAGAAAGTGAATAAAAAGCTTAACTCTAGTAACACTGGCTTTTCGGTCAATGTTTTCGAAAGTTTAATAATGTGACGTCCCTCACTACACACTTCGCTCGATCCTCGCTGCTTCGTTCGGGTGTTGCCGCTCCAAACGTGACGTCCGCCTGTTGCGTCAGTCGTGTTGTCCCGTCCTGTGACGACCAACTGGCTTGGTGTCGGTCGCGGCACCCAAATGTGACGTTCTAACCTTTTGGTGATTCGGATGGGAATCTGGTTAGATTCGACATCAGCCTCGTCGTTCCCAACTCGCTTCCAACGTCTGGTTACCAAAGTAACTGCGTTGATCTCCAGTCTGCCTACCACGTTGTGTATTGATCTTAGGCAGACGAAATCAATCAGTCGTTAGGGCCGTAATGCAAGTTGGGTTCAAGCGAGGGTGGTATCGCACAAATATGTATAAAAGAAATAAAATAACACAAAAGTTCAAGGTATCAAAAAAAAGATAACAATACTTTATGTCTAGTTGCTGGATACATAGGACTGCGTCTATCTCCCGACCCGTTATATGGATTGTGACATGTTGTTTTTTTTTTTTTTGTTAGGCGAGTTTTAACACTTTAAGTTGTCTGTTCTTTAAGAAATTGGTTCTTGGTGTGTCTTCAGGCGAAAGTCGAAAAACTTATTTTGGTGGTATGGATCTAAGTCGCTCTTCAAAATAAATTGTTCTTGGATTGAAGACGAGTTCGGAAGTTGCGCGAATCTTAGTCAGCTGCGAGGCCTGATTCAACTGAACACTCTTCTCTGCTGAACTCTCCGGGAAACTCTCTGGGAAACTCTCCGGGAAACTCTGATTTTCGCTCGCTGCGACTTTGCTTATATGGTCGCCGACCAAAACCGGGGTGTGTTTGTCGGGGCCGGAGGTTCCTCGATAATTCTAAATACATACCCACTTCTTTTTATTTTTTGGTTAGAATTTTTCCACTTCTTTCCATTTTGAGAGTCTTCTCTTACTCCCACCTTCTCACCATACTTCAGACGGGCGTCAACGGCTCTCCCCACTTCTTCGTAGCAACCTCTCATACCCATCCTCTAAGTGGGGGCGGCGGCTTCCTCCTTGCGTCACGTGATCACCACTCGGCCAATGATGTCCAGCCGGGCATGTGCGATCCAGCGGGCTTTGTTTCAGGAAAAAAATATATCTTGCTCAAAAAAAAATTATCTTTTTCTTTTCCTTTTCTTTCCTTAATCGCAGCTCTCATTTTCTCTGGCCGCCAACAGAACAATGCGACCAGTAGTGTCATAACCTCTATTCTCATCAGAATGGGTGGTCGTCCAGCAAAACACAATCGACCGTCGTCTCGAAAAAAACAGTTCCATTGTTCTAGTCATTCCTGGTGCCAATTTCTGATAACATAGTTTTGTTATCACAACCGAACTCTAACACCGATAGATGTCTTGTCAAAAAACGGTCAGCCGTTACTCAAGGTTGGCCTCGTGTGCGGTTAAGCAGACGACACAATTAATTTTTCTTATCTATCCAAAGCCCTGTATTTCACCTGTTCTTTGTCAATTATCAAAATAACATTATCAATTGGAGTTTTCTTAGCTAGTCGGTCTGTGGTTTGCTAATGAGATGTTTGCCCGCATTAAGCGGCTGTTATCTATACCCGATAACACAAGTTCGTCGCCAGAACATAGTCGATTCCCTTATCCACTTAGAATTTTTTTTTGCAATGGTAATGACACCTTTTCGCCATTTGCTACTGATCAAAATAACATTGTCAAGGCCCCTGGTCGTGGGTGGTTTCTTTTATCATCTACGCTTAAGTCTCGCCTCTCTTTTCCTTTCTTTCCTTTCTCTTTTTCCTTTCTTTTCTTTTTTGCCCTGGTAAATGGTGCCACAATAAGGGAAAATACTATATTTGATCTCATCCCGATGATCAAGGAGTGAGGAAAAATATAATTAGTGTAGCACTGGCTGCTCCGTCAATGAATGACGATGTTTCCTTATAAGGAAACAGCTAATAGTACCATCTCTATATAGAAAACAGGGGATGCCTCTGTGTGTCTCTGTCTGTGTGATACCTTTTCTGTTGAGATCCATACAACCAATTTTGAACAAACCTGGCAGATACATTGAACAATGTAAGGGATAGGTTCTTAGCGTAAACAATCAATACATTTTTTTAAAAAATCAATAATCGATAAGACGATCAAAAATGGATAAATTCAACTTTTTTCCTCCGATTTCGTTCAAACTCGGCATGTAGGTTACTTACATCATGATGAGCTCAAAGATACCTCATTTTTTTTAGTAAAAACCACGAAAACGAAAAAATCGATTTCAACACAAATTTTAAACTAACAACTCCCTCGATTTTCAAGCAATCTAATACAAACTTCACTCAATTGTAGTCAACAATAAGTTGATTGTTTAACACCCATATAGTAAAAACCCGCGTAAATAGCGAAAAATAGAGATTTTTACTTGTTTCTTATTTTTCGTTGATCTTTAAACCAGTTTTCATCAAACTGAACAATTGCTCTGTCTATATTTCTGAGATGAGGTATTATGTACACTATTTACATTATTCGGCCTATTGAAACGTTGTGATAAATATGGCGACAAAGATGAGGGCAATAGTCCGAATAATGTAAATAGTGAACAATTGCTTTATAAATGTATCCTCTTTTCTATCCCTGTTAGCAAACTGGCAAACTACATTTCAAAAACTCCAAAGTAATTGTTGTCTGAAGTGGGTCCTCATGTTACCTGTTTTACCCCTTCATGTCCTCGGCTAACTTCGATTGAATAAATACAGACTACTTCTGTTATATCAGTAAATGCATTTATTTGAAATGATTTTAATGAAAAGTACATTAAAGTAATTGAAGAAGATAGACTCGGTTACATCTAAAGATGATGCTGTTTTTGCTCCATTCTGATTGAACGCTTTTTCTGATCGACCAGCTGGGTATGGCTGTCAATTAAATATAAGGAGAACAGACCCTATATTTTGATCCCAGACCGCTGGCCAAGATAGTGAACACTGAATATGTCTTTATAGAAAAACAATCATACTATCATTACTACTAGAGATGAGGAAATGAGTTACTACATTTTGATCAATTCTCGAGGCCAGGGAGTGAAGAAAAGCTCAACATCAGTTGCAATGGCTACTCGATCAACGAATGCGAAATGTTTCCTTAAAAGGAAGCGGCTCGTGTTATCATAATTATTATAAAAACCCAGGTTGTGTGTGTGTGTCTGATTGTTTATATATTGGATCGGATTTCCTACATTTTTCAACCGATTTCAACAAAACGCCACAGGACTACGTATAATTACCTTGCGGTGGTTCTGACAGCTCCAAAAATTGGAAAAAGACAATTGTTTTTGCAAGAAATCAATTTGAAAACACGATTAAGTGGCATCGCTGTCGCGAGAATGAAAGGGGGACAAATCATATCGAGTTATACTTATTATAAAACCCAGGTTGTGTGTGTGTGTGTGTGTGTGTGTGTGTGTGTGTGTGTGTGTGTGTGTGTGTGTGTGTGTGTGGTTTATATATGGGATCGGATTTCCTACATTTTTCAACCGATTTCAACAAAACTTCACTTTTTTTTGGCAGGTAGTGTTTCTTATTGTCTTGCACAGTTTTTTCTTTATTTTTACATTCAGAATGCTTTAAAAATTCCATTTACAAGACAATTGTTTATAATAAAATTTTATTCAATCGGTAGACTCATAACGATTGAAAACAATGTTTTTGTTTGAGTTTGGGTTTGACCAATTCGTAAAAAAATAAAAATAAAATAAAACTGATTAAGACATGCGTGTCCGTCAACCTTAAACAATAATTTTTGTCAATTTTATTTTTCAGTCTTTATGATAGTCGATACTTGATCTATCTCTTATTGTTGCATCCCCGGGCAACGCCGGGCTCTACTGCTAGTCATTACTATAATAGATGGGGGAAAACGTTTACTGCATTTTGATCAAAGTCCGATGTCAAGGGTGTGAAGAAAAGCTCAATTTGAGTAGAAATGGTCGGTTGATCAATGACTGCCGAATGTTTCCTTATAAAGAGGCGGCTCATACTATCATTGCTACTAGAGATGGGGAAAACAGTTACTACATTTTAATCAAACCCTGGTGTCCAGAAACTGAATGAAATAGCAATGACTACACTATCAAGGAATGCCATACGTTTCCTTATAAGGGAGCGGACTATATTTTCATTAGTATCAGAGATGGGAGAAAAGATTTTTTTCCTAATATGGAGGTGGCTGTT